AGTAAATGTTTCAAGTCCTCTTCACTTTCAGCAAGCAAGGTTGTATCATCTGCATATTGCAGTTTGTTAATGAGTCTTCCTCCAATCCTGATGCCATGTTTTTCTTGATAGAACCCAGCTTCTCCTATTATTTGCTCAGCATACAGGTTGAATAAGTATTGTGAAAGAACACAACCCCGTCTCACACCTTTCCCAATTTTAAAACATTCAGTGTTCCCATGGTCTGTTCGAACAACTGCTTCTTGGTTCAGGTACAGATTTCTCAGAAGTACAATTAAGTGTTCTAGAATACTCATTGTGGCATACAGTGCATAGGGTCTCTAAGTGTCAGAAACAACTGAATGGTACCTAACAACATCAACAAAAACTTGTTTATGAAGACCTACACTTTGTCCATTTTGTTACTCTGCTAACTCCCAAAATATATTCTACCTTTGGATGTTTTACAAGTGTTCATCTGCCACTATGTCCATACTACAGTCTGGGAAAATAAAGTATGGAAATAAAAGAAAAAATGACCTTAATTAAAGAACACCCATTCGTTGCTCATATGAGTTTTATTCACTTTCTTTGTTTAAAGCATACGTATAGTTGTAGGCCTGTTGCTTCTGAGTTATAGTCACCTTATGTATAACAGAACACAACACAATCCCCGTAACCACTGTGACATTTGAGTCCAAGTTTGCAACAATTTGGTAAATCAATCTTGTTGAAAGTCTTCCTCTTCTACTTGAATCTCTACAATTGTTGTTAGGTTCTGTGAAGTTGATTGCAACTCATAGCAACTATGCACAATAGGATGAAACATTACCAAATCCAGTCCCATCCTGATGTTGGTATTGTTATGTGCTGTCGAGTCAGTTTAGACCTATAGCAACCCTGTATAGGGTTTCCAAGGAGCAGCTTGTGAGCTTGAACTGCTGACCTTGCAGCTCAAACAACTTTTTAGTCCGGCACATTAACTCACATCACGACACCAGGACTCAGTGCCATCCTGATACCTGGTGTTAATTTTAACCATTTGCTGTTGCCATTGTGCCAATATATCTCGTGGGACATCTTCCTCTTTTTTCATTGACCCTGCACTTTATCAAGCATGATGTCCTTTTCCAAGCACCTATCCCTTCTGGTAGCGTAGTGCTTACATATCAGGCTGTGAACCGCAAGGTCAACAGTTCGAAACTACCAGCTACTCTGCTGGAGAAAGACGAGGCTTTCTGCTCCTGTAAAGATTTACAGCCTCGGAAATCCTGTTCAGGGTCGCTTTGGGTTGGAACCAGCTTGATGGCTCTTAACAAAAACAACAAATCTCTCCTGATAACATGTCTGAAATATGGATTTTAAGGAGCTATATTTCTTCCAAGAAAAATTTGCTTGTTTTATTGTGAATTTCAATCTCATTGCAGGTCTTTGCTTTCTACAACTCTTCACTTTACCAAGACCTTTATCAGGACGGGTTCTTCCTGATAACATGTCAGAAGTATTATAGACAAAGTCTCATGATCTTGACTTCTAAGGAGAGTCCTGATGTGGAATTGAAGGATAATGCACTTGACTGAAAGATTTGTTTGAAGCTTAAGGTCCGCAGTTCAAACCCAATAGCTGCTCCTCAGAAACCATATACAGGGTCACTACGGGTTGGAACCGACTTGAAGGCACTTAACAACAACAACCACAAGGAGTATTCTGGTTGTACTTCATCTGTCACTGAATTATATCTCTCATTCCATGTCCTAATTAAGTGAGGTTTGAACTTTTGGCAGTTCCCTATCAACGTATTGTTGTAACTGTTTTTGAATTATCTTTAGAAAAATTGTACTTGCATGTGATATTAATGGTATCATTTGCCCAGGTAGCTGTCTTCCAATTTTCTTGGCCTGGATGAGTGAGTGCCTCCAGTGCTGCATCAATTTGCTGAAAGAGCTCAATTTGCATTACATTAATTAGTGGAGCCTTATTCTCTGCCAATGCCTTCAGTGCACCTTGAACTTCTTCCTTTAGTACCATTGGCTCATGATCATATGCTACTTTTAGAAATGGTTGAACTTGACCAATGCCTTTTCGTGTAGTGACTCTTTGTATTCGTTCCCTGATCATTTGATGATTCTTGCATCATTCAGTAGTTTACCCATAAAATCCCTCAGTATAGCAAGTCAGGACTTGGATTTTGTCTTCAGTTCTTTTAGCTTGAGAAA